TCTGGGATAGTTCCTAGCCATCATCAGCAATATCAGAAAGCCTCAATTCAGTGGTTCTTCATTTAGCTTCAGATTGGTCTAATTGCTGGTTCCATTCTGAACTTGAGATTCCAGTTTCCTCTCTGTTCCCACTTCCTGCCCTGGTTTCTTAACCTTTTCTGCCAAATCTCCCTAACACCTAGATTAGCATTTCTCAGACTATTATAATGTGCACATGAATCCCTAGGGCTCTTGTTAAAATTTAGATTATGACTCAGGAAGTGTGGGGTGGTGCCTGAGATTCTGTTTTTGTTTTTTTTTTAATTTTAATGTTTATTTATTTTTGAGAGAGAGACAGAACATGAGCAGGAGAGGTGCAGAGAGAGAGGGAGACACAGACTCTGAAGCAGGCTCCAGGCTCTGGGCTGGCAGCAGAGAGCCTGACACAGACCTCACGAGATCATGACCTGAGCTGAAGTCGGATGCTTAACCAGCTGAGCCACCCAGGGTCCCCTGAGATTCTATATTTCTAACAAGTTCTTGCTGCTGGCTCAAGGACCACACTTGGTAGCAAGGGCTCATAGCAAAAATCTCCTAAATGTGTTTTCTCACTCACCTTCTCCCTCCACAAAGGGGACAAACACAAGTGGTATCATGTTGCCAGGCTTTCTGGATCTCACGCCACCAGCATCATTGGCCCCCAGCATAGGAGAGTGCTCGGATCCCCTGAAAACCTCATACTGATCCCTGGAGATTCTTACCCAGTAGGTCTAGGGTAGGGGCTCAGAATCTCTATTTTTAAGAAGCACCTCAGGCAGTCCTGATGAAGACCAGTGACTTACAGGCTAAAGTCCAACCTGAAGCCTTAAAAACAAAGTCTTCCCCAGCAGATCCAGCTCCTTTATTTCTCATTTCTTACTCACCAAACCTTTGTTCCAGGCAGGCCGTCTCTTAAAAAGACTCAAAGTATTCCCTCCTCTTTACTCTGGCTCCACCTACAAATTCTACCCACTCTGTAACTACTTCATCTTGTCTACGTATGATCATTGTCACCCTACCAAGAATACCAGCTACTGGAAGACAAAGTGCCATGCAGGTAGCTGGTAGGAAGACTTTGTCTCCACTCTCTTTAGCCCTGTCAAGTCCATCCATCCTCCCCAATTCCACCAAGTCCCTGCTCCCCCTCCCACTTGACATAGTCAAGTCCCATGGGAAACACACTTTTCTGGAAGAATGGAAAATATGACTCTCTTGACTTAAATAGAAGTGACACCCTGCCCTGACACATACAAAGGATGCTGAGTCACACTCCAGTTCTATCTGGAAACAAGTCCCTGAGGACAGGGACTTTGTATTATATTAGTTCTATGTCCTTTTCCTTAGTCAAAAGCATCTCATGTTTGCCATTAGATGAAATACTAAGCAAATGTCTGAGTATGTTTGGTGATCTGCCAGAAGGTGACACATAATGGTAGGGATGGAAAGGGTCATTATGGCTAATTAGTTGAAATGACACGAAAATTCTCTAATTAGCTTTTTAAAACATCTTTGCTCCCAGAGAATATTAGAACCTCAATATATCTTTACTCCTATAATACCATTAGAACAACCTATAGCGCCATGGAGCACATAAGGCTAACATCAGCCATGCGAAATCATACTTGTCAGCATCAGCTTAACTTATATGGCAAGAAACACTAACAGCTCAGTTGGAATTAAGAAGTGAGGCTAACTCAGCACCGAGGGGTGTCTAAAAAAAGAAAGAGAAACAACATCCAGGAGTCCTCCTTGTGAACCAAAAATATGCTCTCTGGACCAAACTTAACCAAAATATACAGTCCATCGTGATGCCACCCAAACCTGCCTCTGGCTGATTCCCCAGCCCCTCTCTTCTGATCCAGGTGACCTTTCTGGACCTAAAGCTCTGTGCTGCTCATTGCCATACTCTTTCTTTTATGCCTTTGTTCTAGGCACATTGTATTTTCTTTGTTGAAAAGATCCTGCCACACACAAACTCCACCTTTAAGATCAAATGTCACCTCCGGAGAAAAGGTAGTTGCTTTATTCTAGGGAGGAAATGGGATCTAAACTGATGTGACATTTTTTTTAAGAAGCCAGAGTTTATTTCTATTTAAACAAAAGCAATTTTCAGAAGGTCAAAAGGCCCAAAGATAGCCGGGTTTAATATAATATTATAGTCAGGTGCTCGCTGTTGCCGGCCCGTCTTCAGGACAGCTCTGGGCACTAATGTCTGACTAATTCTCCCAGCCAAAAAGTGAATTCCTCTGAATTTTGGCATAATTCATACAAGGCTATCCCTCCAGTAATGACAACCAAAAACAATGCCAAAAATAATCATTGTCATTGAGAGAAAGAAAGGTAAAGGATCAGAGAAGAAGCCCCCCATAGCAATTTCAAGAATAAAAAATACTGATCCAGGATAAAACAAACAGACGCATTTGCAGAATCTATATGAAAACCATTTTTGCATTATTCTCTGAAACCAGGTGCTCTGACTATGAGCTAGAGTAGCTGGGATCATGACAGAACTTGTAATAACATGTGTCTTCATATTCTTTTTCTCCGTCTCTTGCACGATGTCTGAAAACTGGCAGATGTGTGATCAATGTCTTTCAAGTAAATGGAGGAGTTGCTGATTCACCTGTAGGAACAGGACCTTTTGCCAATTGATCTGAGGTCAATCACTCTTCTGACTTTATCGGGCTTTTCCAAAGTAAAACCACAACAATAATCTCTCTCAATCACCACAATAATAACAGTTATAGTGATAACAGCTAGTATTAATTGAGCACTTACTATGTGCCAAATACTACGGAGTCTTAACATGAATAATTCAGTTATCTTCACAAATTATCCCCACTTTACAGATTAGGAACTTAAAGTTTAAGACACCCAGTAACTTGCCTACATAACTTGTCAAAGCAGTACATGAGGGAGCCAAGATGGAAGACAGAAACCATATACTGCGTAAGGTATACTGCTAGCAACTAATCAACACCACTAGGCTCATGGTCACTGACTCGTTACTGGTAACAGTGACCCCCACCGAGCAGCTCTTCCTACTCTGGGCACGAAGCAGCAGGCTCTGACTGCTGGCTGGGAGGAATGCAAGCCCTTTGGATTGTGGAAGAGCATGGCAGCCATCTCAGTGTTCTCACCTGCCCCTGGAAATCACCAGGACGACGTGCTTGGAGTCCTTCTTGGTGCCCGCTGGCCTGGTGTTAAGTGCAAGCTTCTTTACTCCTTATGGATGCCAAGAAACAGCACCTTCAATGGCAGTGCCTGTTAGTAACTGGCCTCCTGTAATGTACCTGGAAGGTAGGCTCCACCCAAGTCCTAAAGAGAAGCGCTTGTCACGTATTTGTGAGTTGTTGGCTAAAGGCCTAAACTCAAATCTGGTTGTACCTCCTCCATAAAGCATTTTTGGGCACCCCATCAACTCTAAGTTATTTCTTTCCACTCCCCAATTCCTCAGTACTGTATCTGTAAGTCCTTTTCAGTTCCTTTCCCACTCAAGGCTTAAGAGGAAAGTTGCTATAAAACATAGCAAGCATTCAATTAAAATACTGCAAATAACTGCATCAAAATGCCAGTTCCTGTAATTTTTAGATCCAATGAGAAAAAAATCCCATTTTTCTGGAAAAGACCACTGATATTTGAGAATGCAGCTGGCTCCCGATTTTATTTCTCCCTGGTAAAGGGAATGATAATGGCTTGCAAAATCTATGGGAAAGGGGGTGTGTGTATTCTGCTTCTGCTCTTCCCACATGTCAGTTACTGAAGGTTTGAGGCACAAATCCTATGCCGATTTTTCCTCAGTAGCAGTCCCCGCTCAAAGGCGCATTGGGATGGGGCGCCTGGGTGGCTCAGTCGGTTGAGCTTCCCACTTCGGCTCAGGTCATGATCTCGCGGTTCGTGGGTTCGAGCTCCGCATCGGGCTCTGTGCTGACAGCCTGCCTGTCTTAGGATTCTGTGTCTCCCACTCTCTCTGACTCTCCCCTGATCACGCTGTCGCTGTCTGTCTCTCTCTCTCTCTCTCTCTCTCTCTCTCTCCTCTCTTTCAGAAATAACTAAAAACATTAAAAAAAAAAAAAAAAGACACACTGGGAAGGCTAGTGGGACAGCTCATGCCGAGATGTCCTGTGCATCTGTGTGCATTTAATTCAGATACAGACCTCGTTTTATAGCGACCTTAACATGACATTCTAATGTATTGGTAAAGATGAGAAAATGGGATGTGAGTTTTATCTAGCTTCATGGGCATAGTATCAGCGAGATTTGCAGGGCCTCTGCAGAGGGCTAGCAGTGCTTATTAAATACCTGCCGCAGGTGCTGCATCCTAAATGAGAAGCCAAGGGTATCTGTTAAAAGTCTGCGGGAGGATTCTCATCTGGGGAGAGCAGGCGACTGGGCAGTGATTGAAGTGTCCAGCAGGGGGCTGGCATTCTCTGTCTGTACTTAGCCCTGGTTCCTCTTCAGAGCCTCAGCTCAGCAGAGCTGCCGTTTGCTGGTTAAGTCAGTGACGCGCACAACATCCTGCCTATAGGATTTGAGGCTTTCTCAGTGCAGTTTTTTTTCTACCCACTTTAAACCTTCAGGTTCTAAATATCAGGAAAGATAGGAAATGCCGTATGAAAATAGCCGGCCAAAAGTTCTTAGTAAACTGCAGCTGGGGAGACTCAGACTAGAATGGAGGTAGAAAGAGTTGATACAGAGTGGGTTTAATTCTGAGCCCTTTCTGGCTGAGTTTTTGTTGTTTTGCTGTTAATTTATTGAATATAGACATGTAGTACATTGGTCAAGTGAAGACCACGGCAGCACCAGCATCAAAATAGTGCCAGGAAGTTCTGAATGCCATAGTGTGTATGTGCTCAGAGAATTTTTATTAAAGAAGATAAAGAGCCCAGCACAGATTTTTATCCTTATCTTCACCCAACTGCAAAATCAAAGTTAAGCAACAGCATCTAAGAGCACTTTTCAGGTGGGAAAGGACCTAGAGGATGGCTCTAAACGACTGTTTGCTTTTGAACTTGGAAGTGGACCACTTCTTGCACTGCAACATCTCCAGTCACAGTGCAGATATCCCCATGAACGACGACTGGTTCCACCCGGGGATCCTGTATGTCATCCCTGCAATCTATGGGGTCATCATTCTGATAGGCCTCATCGGCAACATCACCCTGATCAAGATCTTCTGTACCCTGAAGGCCATGAGAAATGTGCCGAACCTGTTCATCTCCAGTCTGGCATTGGGAGATCTGCTCCTCCTGGTAACGTGTGCTCCCGTGGACGCCAGCAGGTACCTGGCCGACAGATGGCTGTTCGGCAGGATTGGCTGCAAACTGATCCCCTTTATACAGCTCACCTCGGTGGGGGTGTCTGTCTTCACACTCACAGCTCTCTCGGCGGACAGGTAAGTTCTAGAGGAAAGTCACATTCTCTCTGAGGGTGATAGATGCCTTGGTAAACGAGCTACCACCTTGGGGCAGACACAGCTGTTTGCACGAAGGGAAGTTTTACTCAAACTCTGATTCCCTTCCAGGAATGTTTTTCTTTTGGAGATGACTTCTGGAGTTTTACATATTGGTTTAAGACAGAAAAGTGAGTGAGTGGTGGGACAGAAGGGGACAAATGAGAAAAAAATTTTTCTGAGCATAAGATTGACGTTCATTTACAGGAGACAAATTGATTTAGCATTGCTTTTTCCTAACTTCTCCCTCCCTGCAAAATTAATTGAATGGTGAGGGAAAAAATCACACCTAATAGAGTTTACACCCCAGGCAAATCTTTCTTAGAAGCAATTCAAAGTCATCAGAGAACAGAAAAGTCTCACTAAATTTCTTCCTCAAAATACGCTTTCAGAAATAAACAAGAGGAGAAAATAAGCAGCATTTCCTTGACATTTATTTTCCTCAGACTATTTAACTTTTCTCACAGCTGATTTTGTATTTGGCTCTCTTGGTAACCAGAGAGCTGGTTTTTCTAAGTATCTCTTCAGTGAAATAAGCGCTATATGGATTTTTTTTTTCTCCTTGAGAAAGCTCCATTCAAGTTTGATTTTGAATTTTAATATCCTTAGCGATGTACTTCTATATACAGTGCCTTTGGGGTTTTTTATTTTTTTGGGTGGGGGAAGAGAGTCCAGTGTTTTATTCTGGGAAATACGCATATCTGTGAACTGCATTTCTTGTGTGCACATGTTGCTTTCAAATTCACATGTATTCATTCTTAAAGATTCATATTCAGTCTTTGAACATTTACCAAGCATCTGTTCTGTAAAGAACTCTTGCTTGAATGAACCAGTCAGGAAATGTCTGCAGGTTGTTCACACATGTTGCTGCATTATCTTACATACCTCAGAGCTCTAGAAATCGGACCTAGTGATGGGCAGATTTCAGAAGCATCATGAAGCATATGGTCAAATGAGGAAAAACTGGAACAATGAGCCAGAGCCTATACATTTTTATTTTAAGCCCCATGGTATGATATGGTATTAAAGATACGTACGAATTTGAGAGAAGAGTGGGGAAGCAGCTTTTCAAAGTTTATACTCTGAAGAGAATGTCCCACATTTTAATACATATGGTAGTGGATTCTCATTTTATAGAGGAACAAATAGTCCCCAGGCGATCTGGCTTTGTCAAGTAATGGACAAATAGAGATAGTGTTATCAGTATTTGTAGACATGTGTTTATACTTAGCTGCCTGAAGTACACTGCTCATTTTCAAAGATGGAAAAATAATAGCCCAGAGACAAGGTCTGCACATCGGACTGGCCAGGCGGGGTTCCTCCATTCCTGCCGCTCCCCTCCAGCTTGCTCTAATCTGCGCGTTTGCCCACCAGGTGCTAATGGCCACGAGCAGTTTCACATGTTGATCCAGGGCAGGCAGACTCTGGAGCCGGCAGAAGGGCTGTAGCTCATGACCCATGGCCAAGGGCCCTCCGGGATGAGGGCCATTTTCTTGATGGGAAGATGAGATTTTGGATTCTGGGTTGGTGGGTGCGATGGTATGGATGGTGTTTACCGTCTTCTCAGGTGGAATGGGGAGGCAGAGAAGAAAGTGAGGGCATGCAATGTACAAATGCAGCTGCAGGGAGCCCTCTCCAGAGTTTCAAAATAGACCAAATTCCCCGTCGGCAGAAAGGTCTTTTCAAAAGCCGGGTTGCCCTCTTTGGCAGCTCTAGTGTGTTCTCAGCAACTTTATAGTTACTGTGTGTCCTTCCCAAGTTCAGAAATTACTATAAGCTTCCATATAACTAACTTTTTGTGCTTTGCTAAGGCTTGAAAAAGCTGATGGATCACCTGAATCACAGGTAGTGCATCTAGCCGATTTCAGCAGGAATAAGTATTGAGCTAGTTAAATAATATAAAACTATACTTGTCTTATAATAACCTCATGAGGTTGGCAGGGCAAAAATACACACACACACATACACACAAACACACAGTCTATATTTTTTCTCAACAAGGTGTGATCTATATACAGTAAAGTGAACAAGTGTATAGCTCAATATATTTGCATTTATGTCTTCATAGCAACATAGCCACCACCCAGCTGGAGATATAGAATATCTGGCACCCCAGGAGTTTCTTTTATGTCTCTTTCCAGTTAATACCCACCCCTATAGACAGGCAATCACTATTCTGAGTTCAGTTAACATAGATTATGTTTACCGGTTCGTTAATCTCACAAATAGAATCATACTTCTTATGCTTCTCATGCCTGTGAGAGTCATCTTTGTTGGTGCACACAGCAATGTTTTGTTCTTTTTAATTCTTGTGTAGTATTCCACTGTATGAATATACCTCGGTTTGTGTATCCATTCTAATACTGATGGACATTGGGTTGTTTCCAGTTGGGGGCTGCTAATAGCCTACCCTGGATATTCTTATTCATGCCTTTTCGGGTGCATACGTGTTTATTTCTCTTGGGTCTAAGCCTGGGAATGAAATCGCTGGATCACTGGTGGCATATATTTAGTAAATATCATCAAAGGGTTTTCTAAAGTGCTAGTCTGTATTTGACAGGTTGGCAAAAGGAGGAACCAGAAGACCCTCCAAACTGGATGATCATCACAAATCATTGGGGAGCTCAAAAAACATATAGCCCCTATCCTAAATCTACTGAATCAGGGTTTCTGAGGTGTGGATAGGCATGGTGATGATCATCCATCCCCGCCCCCTGCAGGCTCCCCAGCAATGCCAGTACTCAGCCCAGTCCTTCTGCTTCTGCAGTCCTCCCTTCCCCCAGGCAAATTTGAATCTTTGTTAATAGGAAAGGAGTAACAGTTTTCTGGAAAAGTTTATACTGCTGCCACTGTGTCAAAGGGAGACTTCAAGGCAGTCCCAGAAACCAGAATTCTGGGCTTCACACAGCTGACCAATTGCAGATTTGCATTCAAGCCCCTTCACTTTTGGTCTCTGCCCTCCCTCTCCCCCCTCTCCTTTCATGCTTTCCCCCCCCTACACACGCACTGATATCTGCCTGCATGGTGGTTATACTGACAAGTTCCTGGCTCTGCTTCCTTGCTTATGCTGTGTCATGCGCACTCTCCACAATGCTTTCTCCTTTTCTACATAGAAGAGTCTACTCCCCAGTGATGTATGGGCTTGGAATGGGTGTCAGCAGTCCTGCCTTTTAGGCTTTTTGCTGCCATTACTGCCCATTTAAGGGAGTCAGACCAAGTCACTAACTCTCTGACCTCAGGTGAATCATCTGTAAAGTAATAGAGCTAAGCTAGATTATTTCTAAGTTCTCCCAAATTTTTTCTAATCTGTCATCTTGCCTATCATTTGGAATCTGGCTCAAGGCTCCCCCTTCAAGCCCCCATAAAACCATTCTAGCCCAAATTTCCCGACCCTACCCTAAACACAAAGTTTATTATCTGAGACATGAACTATCTTGTGACTTCTTTCATCTTCCTCTTTTGAAATATTTCACTCATTTGTCTTTTTTTAGACTCTTGTATATTCATTGCTTTAACTTTTCAAGTAGATTATTAAGAATGCTGATAGCAGAGATTTCTTATACATTCTTATATCTTCCACAGTGCCTCACATGGTTCTTTGCACCAAATGGATGACCAGTAAATATTGGTTAATTAAAATTATGGTTAATTAATGCATACTTTTCTTCTCATTTTTATTATTCTTCTCCTTTTTTGGAATTCATCTGAAAGCATACTCCTTAAAATGTTTAAACACAGTTACCGGCTTCATATCTCTTCCTCTCTAATAAGCTGTCATTGTCTGAGTAAATGAGAGAAAAACCTTTCTTTCTGAGTCTATGAATAGATGTGGGGGGTGAAGAGATGGGTATGGATGGATGGACAGATGAAAAGACAGGTGAGTAGATGAGTGGATGGGCAAATGAATGGACACTGATTGGATGGATGGATATCTTTTTCTATATACTGGTCTTTCCTACTAGATGCCCATTTCTGTCCTAGGCACCTCAGTATTATGTAAATGGAATTTAAGACCTGAATTGGACCCTCAACAGGAGAAGGTTAAGGAGAGTTTGTGTTTTCTTTTCCAGTAAATGTAAAGTTTAAAGCTAGATTTACTGTTGACAGCATATAATGCCCACATTATATTGTGCCTGCTTCAGTATTGTTTTTTTTTTAATTCATTAAAAAAAATTTTTTTTAATGTTTTATTTATTTCTAGGAGAGAGAGAGAGACAGCGTGAGCAGGGGAGGGTCAGAAAGACAGGGAGTGACAGACTCTGAGACAGGCTCCAGGCTCTGAGCTGGTAGTCAGCACAGAGCCCGACGCGGGGCTCGAACCCACGAACCGCGAGATCATGACCTAAGCGAAAGTCGGACACTCAACCGACTAAGCCACCCAGGCGCCCCATAAAATTGCCTTATTATTAATGAGAGGTTAGAAAAGTTTCTGGGCACCTGGGTGACTCAGTCAGTTGAGCATCTGACTCTTGACTTTGGCTCAGGTCATGATCTCATGGTTTGTGGGTTTGAGCCCCACATTGGGGTTCTGCACTGACAGTGTGGAGCCTGCTCGGGATTCTTGCTCTCCTTCTCTCTGTCCCTCTCCCCTTTCTCAAAATACATAAGCAAACATTTTTAAAAAATAAAAGTTTCTTTCAGCTCCATAACTCATTACTGATTATGTCATATATGTTTAGAGTATTATAAAATGTTTAAGACTACTTGAGAAAGCCACTATCAAATTTCTTTCCTCTATGGGCCATACAATTTCACAGTATTTAAACTTTTGTGCCTTGAGTAATCTTATATATTCATTTAGTTGATGATCCCTATTAACCTATTTGCCATGGATGTCTTTGTATTATGTTTTAAATTATCTTCATCCATGTTGGTATTTTGTGGGTATGCGTAAGTGACTACACAAATGTCTTTGCTCTTTGTAATGTGGCTACAGGTTTCTG